TAGAGCAAATTTATTTAAATTTTTTTTTAAAATGAATCTTTTATAGAAACAGAGTTACTATATTCTACATAATCATACGGTAAAGACATACAAGGTTAAATTTGTTTAATATTAAGTTGGTGTTGTTTCAATTGGCGCCTTAAAAAGTTTTGCGCCCCAAGATCGGATTGGCGCCCCAAATTATATATATATAAATTCTAACAAAATTTTTAAAATATATAACCCTTATGATTTATGAAACATTACTGTAGATTTTTTTAGAGGAAGAATCTTTTTTGACATTCCAGGAGGAAAGTGGCTACCTAAAACCCGTAGTCGAGAGACTTTAGAGTTTTGCGGTAGCAAAAGACTCACTGTAAGGTTAATAAAAAGAGTCTAAAATGCGCATTTCTTTTTTTGATGTAAATTGTATCGAAGAAAATATTTACTTTTTAAAAAGAGTTTTTTGTTATAGATAATAGAAAACACAACTTGCTACACTTGTTCAGGCATTGATAAAGCTGTTATTTCTTTATTTTAAATATAAGATTGTTAATAAATCATGTTTGCTATTTAGATTAAAGAAATTGAAGCTGTAATTAGCTAAAAATTTTTATAAAATTAGAAACTCATTATTATTTTATGTGTAAAAAACTAGAAGGAGAAGGAAAATCCATGCAAATTAACGAATCTCAGTTTAAAGGTCGCTGAAATACAGCTATAGTAGACTTCTCCTCAATGACTTTATAGAGAGTATTGGTGTTACTGTACGTAAAATGAATTTCGTTAAACCATATATGGACCATGTGTTTTTGGCATGACTAAAGAAGGATCCAAGAAGGTCAAAATATTTGTTGTGAAAAATATACACCGTTATATTATTCTTCCTCTTTTACTTGAACATGTGTATGCAAAGCATACAGTGGCGGTCAAAAAAAACGCAACTGATAAAAAGTGACATAAAAAATGTTACTTAAGAAACAATTTTCTTTTATATATATCAGTAATACGAGTGTATAAATAAATGTTTTTATTTTAAAGAAAACTGTTTATTTATGGCTAGTAAACCAATAAAAATTTTAAACAGCTGGTCAAAAAATTTGCAACTCAGAATTTAAAAAGTTTTCCCTCCAAATTTAATAATCTAATATTGTTTTTTTTCCTTTAAATGACAAGAAATTTATCACATGACAATAAAATACGAATTATAACATTATATCAAGAAGGTTATTTACAAGTTCAATTAGCAGAAAAATTTAATGTTAATAAATCTACAATATCAAGACTGATATCTAAATTTAACAAAAATAATACTGTTTTACGTAAAAAGGGAAGTGAAAGACCAAAATTACTAGATAAAAGTGATATAAAATTTTTTAAAGAAAATATTAATATTAATCCTAAAATAGGATCTACAAAATTATCCAAAGAAATTAAAGATGAAAAGAAT